CTCCTCGGGCTCTAACACACCAGCCAGACTGGCAAAGGTCCTTTGAATAATTGAGTTGCAAAATCTGTCAGCTTGGCCAGGAAAAGGTAGAGAGCTTTGAGGTGCCTTTTGGTGCATTTTTCTTTTTTCCTTGAGAAGTTCAATCATACGTGTTTTTTAGAAGAAAAGTTCCTATATTTGTGTAATAAAGATTTTTATTGTAATTAATTTCTAGTAGCTGTCAGTATCCAAAAAATGTTTGTGTATAACAGCAGAGACAGACAAAGAAAGGCAAGTTATTCTGTGTGTGAGCTACTCTGCAAATATCACAAAGTTAGTGTGGAAAAGGTTTATTTTATGTTTGGCCACAATAAGCAAAAGCAGAAATCCCTAGCTTCTAGTTAGTGCATCGTGTTATTGTATCTCTGCTTCAAATACCAAACACTGGTTCTCTTTTCAGATGTGTGAATGGAAATGCTCTCTTATGTTTTCAGATGTATCATTATAGTACTGTACTGACTGAACATAATCTTTGAAAATATTTCCCTTTGATTTTTGCTTTATTGTGAAAAGTTACAGCTTTTACCAAAGAGTACTTAGGACCTCAAGCTGTTTTGTGGATCATTCTCTCTATGCTTCTTGCTTTTGTCTTTGGCAAGTGGGTTAATTTTTAATCTTCTTAATCAACAACCAGGCGTAACAGCAACAAACAAGATGGTTTATTTATTTGCACTGTCAGTATTTTGAGTTGTTAGATGGTAACCAAGTATTATTGTGAATGTAAGGTATTTTGTGGATTAAGACTACTGTGCAGCACGATGTTGTAGATCTTTGCTCAAGGCAGGAGAGTGGTTGTGGTTACTTTAGATATATGGAGTCACAGCCGCATGCGTGGCTTTTCTTGCTGGATCTTTGTTAGGACATTGCCTTTGCCATTAATGATGAATTGAAGAAACCTCAAATCTTTTTATTTTACCTGTAGAGTGTAATTTAGGATTTTTATTTCTTTCAGAATTACCTCTGTTATTACTAGTGCAGTGATTGCAATGATTCATTGTATGATGAACCACGTTTTTGGTGTACGAAAGCCTGTAACAACGTGTTTATCTGTCAGTATTGATACAGTGCTCAGTATGATGGCATCAGTGTGATGTGGCTGCAATCAGGGGTCAGAGAAAGACTTCAGAGGTCTCTATAAGCATTTAGAAGTATAAGTGTGGAAGGAGAGAACGATTTAAATAGACTATTATTTTGTCCTAGTTGTAGCATATTAAGGCATGCTTATTTATATGGTACTTCCTTAACAAAAGATCGGATGTTGTGTTGGTTTGCGACACTTGTGTGGCCTTGGACTCAGCTTAGACCCTCTTTTGCTTATCTTTTGGAGCTTAAACCCAGCCTTTCCTCGCAGAGAGCTCTGACTGAGGAAGATCTGTTGGTTTGTTAAAACCGTTAAATGAGTATCAAAAAAGCAGTAAATTCATCGGCAAAACCAAGGAAAGGATTGAGCAAGAGTGAGGGTAGTAATGAAGTTTTAATTTGAGCTTGGCTATTAAAGAAAAGGACAATTTTAAATACCAAGCTGTCTAGGTTAGGGTATTGCAGCGAAGCCATTCTGCCTGATGAGGAAGCAGGGATATGTGAAGCTGAGAGATGTGGGGTGATGATAAAAGATCTGTCCCCAAGGTCCTCTTAACTTCTGCTGATTGTCTCTCATCTGGTTCATTATAATTCAGCTGTTGGCACGTGTTTGGATTTACAAAGACTTGGAAATAAAGGATCCAAAACTGTTTGGTCTCAAATGCAGACTGGTCTGTCCAGAAGAAGTTGGGAGATGGCATTTAGAGACTGCAGTGTGGGATTAGAGGGAAGAATAAATCTTCATAGCAGATGCAGTAGATGATGGTCTTACAACTGGTTTAGATTTCTTTGCACCTGTTAACAGTATAAGCAATACCAGGGATTATAACTTCAATCTCCAGAAAATCCCCTTAGCCATGGTGGAGTAAATGGTTCATGAACAATCGATGTGTAACAAACAAGTTATTCTTCCCTCTGAGTGCAAATACTGTTGAACAGCCGTGTGCAGGTTTAACTTTCCAGCACAGAAGGCTGAAAAAAACTGGGGAAGTCTTGAGGCATCGACTTGCTTGCGATGCTGACTAAACGCAGATGGCTTAAGTGGTTCCTGTCTTCAGTTTTACGCATTACCTCTCTCTTGAAGGCTGCTGTTGCTGCAGCGGTGCTGGCAGAGTGATATTTGAAATATGTGTGTTTACATTTATGAGCCAAACTGTAAAAATGTGTTTGGGAGCAGAGCCACATAAGCCAGCACTTGTAGATGCTAAAATTCTTGTGGCTGGGAAGTACGAGTGGAGCATTCCTTGTTTGCTGGATGCAGCTGAGGAGCAGTGAGTAGTAAAAATTATTTTGATTCAAGATGAGCAGAGAAAACAATGTGGTGTTTTATTTATTTGGGCTTTCCATATTGAAAACCTGTTAAATTGGATTGGGTAGAAAAAAGCATTCCAGTAACTGCAAGAGTGTGGTTTAGCATGGCTAAAAATGGCAAGGATTCTCCTGACTGTTCCTGTCCTTTGCATGCCTGTGAAAACATACCTTAGGCACAGGTGCCAACGCTGACCATTTTGGGGCATTATTGAAAAAATTATTTGAAGCAAAGTTTAGTTTTTCAGAGCAGCAGTCTGAGTCATGGTAGAGGGGGGAAAAACACGCTATCAATACAAAAGACTAGAAGTTGTTAAAATTATAGACTATTTAGTGGAACGTTGGGATTAGCTCTTGGTCTGGACTATGGCATCTTGACACCAAATTGGCAAAAACGCTCGGAACAACTGCTGTAGTGTGATTTTGCAAATCTGCAGAGGCCTGGATGGGAGCAGGTTAGTCCTGTTACCACAGACAGAGAAGACCCTTGTTGGAAGGCTGGTTGCAAACAGTAGGGCTCAGCTTCTCTGGCATATCAGAAACCTGTGGTCATTTTGTCCTCAAGTGTTGCAGAAGTGCAGGTATTAGTGGTTCATCCACAGCTGGATAAAGGAGTAGGGACAGTTGGTGTAGTCTTGCAGGAGCGGACTACAAAGCAGCTGAATCCTTCTCAGAGGGTGGATTTTCATGCTGGGATATTAGATAATTGGAAAATCATCCGGCAGGGTTGTTCTCCAGAAAAGGTAGCATCTCCATGTCTTCCCTGAGGAAAGGTCTTCCGAGCCCAGAGGAATTTGGCACTCTGAGTGAAATACTACTCCGCGGGCGAGACGACCTGATGAGTGACTGATTCAGGTATTATCTGATTACAGCAGATATCCAAGACCTTTCCAGTACTTGATGATGACCATATGGCTGCTGTGCTCTTGGCAAAAGCTTTGGCTGAAAAGGGGGTTCCTATGGATATAATTGGAACGCAGCAGGGGCCATCATCAGCATTTCGGTTTCAGGCACTGATGTGTTGCAAAAGATGATTGTGAGACCTAAGCTGTTGTGCAGCGTGAAAGAGCGTTCATCGGCATCAGCATGGGTCCTAGCATCAGCCAGAAACAGCTGTGAACTGTTTCATGGACAAGTTTGAGTCAAACTGTCAAGAGGCTTTGACTGTAGCATAGTTTCCAGTTAATGAACATTCCACCTGGTGGGTGAAATGTGATTCTAGAAAGAGGACTGGAAACAGCATGTCCTCATGGTAACTTACCGATCATCGCTTGACGGAAAACACCAGGTAGCTGAACACTTCACATATTGGGCTTTAAAGACTCAACTTAATCGGTTAAATAGATCTCCTGGCAAGGCACAGAGGAAGTTCTAGAAACCCCACAATGCAGAACAGAGAGGCAAAAAGTGTACTTTTGCAAGAACAAATTTAACTTGATCCCTAGTAAATGAGAAGATAGTCTTGGATGATCAGTTGTATTTTGAAAGCAAACGTTTACAAGAATCTGTCTGCTTTGATTCCGCTATCCCACAAGGATGGAAAGCAAAAGTCAGCTAAACCTAGTGGGTTTAGTAGTTTTACTATGGTACATTCACTCTTCAGAAATTGTACATTATCAGGAATAGAGTTACTTTTGGGGGAAAAAGAAAAGAGATAGTATATACATTTTTACAGACAAAATCCTGTATTGTCTAAAAAAAACATGGCTCCTTGAGCAGTGGGTTGCTGAAGCCTGGTTTCTGGTGGCATCCATCATTCTCCAAATCCTCTCCTCCCTCCCCTGAAAAGCTGGCTCCCTCCTCTCCCTTACTGCCCCTTCGCCATGCACTCGCCTCTGACTTAGGGCTAGCTCCCAGCAAGACCCAGCTAAGGCAGCGACAGGTCACTCTCTTCCCGCTGTGCCATCCTGCTGGCTCAGGAGCCCATCACACCTGCAAAAGTCTTCTCTTGGTTTGGTTTGGTTTTCCCCTTGCACTGGTTTTCTGCCAATTTGCTAACTATTTTAAATGATTGGTTTATAATCTGACCAAGAAAAATTTAGGATCAGTCTTTCGGAGAGAGTGCAGGAAGGTTAACAGCGTTAAGCAGAAGCCACAAAGAAAAAAAAATCACATCCCTTAGCTCCAGTTCATAGTTCTTCTTCAGTCTACAGAGAGTAGTGTATGTTATTGATGTCACTAGTAATCTTACCTGGTTTTGTATCTCTGTGTCTTCATCCAAGGAAAAAAAACCTTAAGCACGCACTCAGCTCTAAGGGTATGGATAGCTGAAATTCTAAAAAACCCAACAAACCAGAGTCAAACTTCTGGAGGGTCACAGTAATCATGACAATTTTATACAAAGATGTATTCTCTGTTCCCACTGCTTTTCCTGTTTACACTGAACTGGTTTGCTTAAAGTAGCCACTTGATATGCTCAGGTTGCCAGAAGACAAAAGCTTTGAGAACTCTGCTCAGCGGCTTGCTTTCATTACTGTGCTGAGCTGGCTTAGGGTTTGGGCTGGTATTAAAAAAAACCCCAAACCTTAAAAAAAAAGTTAAATATTTCCTGCCTCCCTTTCACTGTGTTTCAGAAAATCGTCAGAAGAACTGGACATGGATAAAGTAACAGCAGCCATGGTACTCACCAGTTTATCCACCAGCCCTTTGGTCCGCAGCCCTCCTGTTCGACCCAATGGTAAGCCTTCAGAGCAGCACCTGGGCAGGGGCTGCAGGGGTGGGTGCCAAGGCTATGTACGTGGGGGCTTATTTCCAGGAGTTGTGGCCATGGTGGAGGACAAAGGGTGAGTGGCTGTCTTCTGGCAGTGACCCGTGCATGCTGGGGATCGTACTGAGCTTTGCTTCAACCCAGTCAAGGTCTTTGGTGCAGCATTGGCAGAAATGAGAAGAAACTTTTCGATAACCGTAGAGCAGCTGCAGTTTATGAAATGGGAGATGAGCGCTGTGGAAGGTATCCTGACCTCACTGAAACACTAGTTTTCCAAACAGCTTACTTGCTGTACACACATACACAGTAAACATGATGGCAGTTGTCCCCACCCCATAGAAGTCAGATCAGATTTTACTCAACACTACGATGAGGCAAAGCACTTCCAGGTCACAGCCCTGGGCTAGCAGGCTGCACGGTGACAGGTCTGTTTCTGCCGATGCAGGGTTAGACCCTCAATTCCTGTGCACTTTACAACTCTCTGATGGTCTGCCATCAAATCCATAATCCCTTAAACGACTACTCCATTCACGGTATAGCAGAAGACTCACAAATAAAAATAAACCTAAAAAGTCAGTGGTAATACTGAGATTGCTACTGAAATGTAATTAATCTATGCAAACTTGACTGGAGTTACAAGACGTTTTTAAAAGTCTTATATTTTAAGGAATAGTTTAAATTAGGACACCCTTGTTAGGATGTCTCAGCATTGTTTATATGACTCTGGCTTTTCTTTACTCACTTGTAGCTCTTAAACAGACACTAGACGCTTTCCTGCTGTGAGTGTTCCTCGAAGTTCTCCAATTATTATGGAGGACTGAGGAATACTTACAGATATGAATTAATAGGGAAGTAGTCTTTGCATTTCTTCATGGAAGGAGGAGCGATCCCCTGAATGACTTTCTTAAAAGCATTCATACCAAATGTCCCAGCTTTAAAGATTTTTGAACAAATAGTGTGTTTTTTCCTTTTCTTTTTAGAAAATGTAAGTTTTATCCGTTTAGCTGGAATTCTAGCCATAAGCACCCATGGCTCCTGTTTGTGTGCTTTCCAGCATTGAAAGCCAGAAGTATTTACAGAGTACCACTGCTCTGAAGAGCCCTGGGAAACCTCCTGCAGAGACATCCCCAGTGACTGTCCTGCCTCAGGGCTGGAGGTTGCCAGCCCCCAGGGAAGGCCAGTGAATGGGTATAAACATACCTGCTCTCCAGCTGCTCGGCTCACAGCTGAAACCACAGATGAAGATGGATTTGTGCTGATGTGCCAGGCAGGAATTTGGAGTGGACGAGGCACACACGTCCCACGTTCCATCACCGGTCAAAGGGAGCTGCTCTGGTGTGGGGCAAGGCAGTATTTGCCACCCTAGACTGTTTGAGCAGATGACACTTGTCAGGAGCAGCAGCGCACATTAGCTAGCAGCTCTCGATTGGAGACAAGCCCTTTTGAATTGCTAATAGGTAAATGGTGGCTGTTAACTGCCTTTGATAACTTCTTCATGCAGTCTGAGTGCTCTTTGATATTTCTTCACATAGCTTGTCTGCTTGTTTCCCGAAATCTGGGAAGACTAGCCTGAAAAAGTGATACGCCTGTTTTCAGTAGTCACAGACAAGATTTTGAAGCTGTTGTTTGGCACCTTCTCCTTGAATATCTTAGTTTTGCCTGAGTGAAGATTTACTAAAGACTTAAATAAAAGTGTAAAGATTTGATAATTTAAGGCTCATTTGGTGTTGCAAGGCTAGGCTCTGATCTTAGTAATACAAGCTACAAATGTACTAATGATTAATTCCTTCTACATCCTTTTCCAAAAAAGGGCAGTAAGTAGCTGTGTAATTAAAGGAACATTTGTTTAAACAAATGGAATTTTGCCTATAAGTAAAACAAATAACATTAGCTTTAATATCAAAGTCTGATCTGTGCTGGAATTATTTGGGATGATCACCCATGTAAACTGGATCAGAGTTTGGCCCTTGTTTTCCTGCAGCTGAGTAATATCTGGTCTGGTTCTCTTTCACGCAACTCCAGCAATGTGAAAAGAGCCCCAAAATAAGAGTAAGTTGCATTTATTTATATTTTAAGCTTCTTTACATTGACAGATTTGTTAGTATTAATGAGGACCAGTGTTTGTTTTTTTCCTGTTGTCAGCCTCATTCAGTCCTTTCCATACTACTTGAAAAATGTTCTTGATTTACATCTCTTTCTCAGCAAGGTGAGGAGAAGCTGTAAACCCTGAGAATACAATGTACCACCATAAATGCGTCACAAAGTAGTAGTCTGAAGAATGCCGTTTCCCTTGTTTTTCAGAAGAAATGGAAATTTTAAGCTACAGCTAAGGTCACGACTTGATACCAGATGCACTTCTTGGCTTTGGCACAAGGCTCAAATGCAAATACTTAAAAGAAATGAAAAACCACCTCCATTACAATCACATGAAGGCTGTAATCATGAAGAAAAACATGACATTTTCATATGTTAACTTATTAGCTACCAGAAATGTATATGTGTCAGAATCATAGAATCGCAGAATACCAGGCTGGAAAGGACCTCAAGAATCATCTGGTCCAACCTTTCTTGGCAAAATCACAGTCTGAACAAGATGACCCAGCACACTGTGCTGCTGCATCATGAAAGTGTCCAATGTTGGGGAATCCACCACTTCCCTGGGGAGATTGTTCCAATGGCTGGTTGTTCTGATGGTGAAAAATTTTCCTCTACTGTCAGAATCTCCCCAGGAGTAACTTGTACCCATTAACCCTCATCTTTTCCATGGAACTCCTTGTGAAAAGGCAGTCTCCATCTTCTTTCTAGTCACCCTTTAAATACTGGAACATGGTGATAAGGTCTCCCCTGAGCCTTCTTTTCTCAAGGCTGAACAGACCCTGTTCCCTCAGCCTTTCCTCATACGGCAGGCTTCTCAGTCCTTTAATGAACTTTGTGGCCCTTCTCTGGACCTTCTCCAGCCTGTCCACGGCTTTTTTGTACAGCAGGGACCGAAACTGAGTACTGCATTGCAGGTGTGGCCTGACAAGTACTGAATAGAGTGGGAGAGTGACTTCTTTGTCTCTTCTGGCGATGCCCTTGTTAATGCAACCCGGCATCCTGTTGGCTTTCTTTGCCTCTGCAGCACACTGTTCACTCACATTGAGCTGTTTGTCCACCAGGACCCCCAGGTTCCTTTCCACAGAGCTGGTGCCCAGCTGGGTAGATCCCAGCCTGTGCTGTACTCCTGGATTATGGGTTCCCAGGTGCAGGACCGTACACGTGTCCTTGTTGAACTTGATAAGGTTCATGTTAGCCCACTCTTCTGGCCTATCCAAGTCTTCCTGCGGGGTGGCTCTTCATTCCAAAGTGTCCGCTTCCCCACTTGGTTTGGAATCATCAGCAAACTTCATCAGGGCACACTTGATCCCATCATCCAGGTCACTTAGGAAGGTATTAAACGGCGCTGGGCCCTGGGGCACCCCACTTGAGACAGGCTGCCAGTCTGAAAAGGAGCTGTTTAAAAGGAGCTGTTTACCACCACCCCCTGGGTGCAGCCTGTCAGCCAATTCCCCACCCACCGCCCGGGCTGCTTGTCTAGACCATAATGCAGTCCTTTTCCAAAGAGGAATTTGAGGGGGGAGGGAGAGTTGATCCCATTTATGCTCTGTGGCCCTGATCAGTAAGTGCAGGGAATTGGCTGCCACCTACTCAAGGGGGTATTTTTATGCATGTACTTAACATGACAGAGCACTGCGTTCTGTTTTGTGAGCAGCTAATGTTAATGATTAAGAGTTTTGTACAAAACCAACTGAATTAGGAGGAAAAAAACACGAAACATTCATTGGTTTTCAGTTAAGCTTTTGGTAGCAGGTGGTAGACATTATTTTCTTACTGATGTCATTAGTTAAATTTGTCTGTAAGAAATTGAGAAGGAATGAAGGAGTGACTTCTGCAGAACTCTTAAAGGCAGGTGCTGGCTTGAAAAGACTCCTGTCTCACACTTAAATACCGTTTCACTAACAGATAAGATGTTATTTGTCTGCCAGCTCCAAAGTTGGGTGTTGCACAATACTCAGGCACCCACAGTGTCATTGAGAAAAGCTTCCAGTGCCTGAGTGAGGGAGGAACTGCACCTAAACCATCCCTGCACGTGTGCCTGAGCTCTGTGAGAACCTGAAGCTTCAGGCAGAGCTGCCTGTGGTTGCACCACTGGACACACTCAGGCCATACCTTTGCTAATCTGATGACCTACATACTCCTTTCCTGCCAAAATCCCTTTAGGGACTGGGAAGAGTGACATGCCGATGTCTAACGCCTGAGGACCTGGGCACATGAAGCACGGCTCAAGCCATGGCTCAGGCTCTGAAAGCAGTGCTGTTACTCCCACCCACCAGGGGGTCGTAGGGCAAGCTGTTAGTTTGAATGTCTGCTTACCCCCTAATAGCAGGGCAGCTGCTGCAGTGAGGAGGGCCGTCCTCCAGCGAGTAGGCGTGGAGGTGATCCATTGTCTGTGCGTCCCACTTCTGAAACCAGATGACTAACGGTAACACCTGTATGAAGACAAAGGGATATCCTTCCAAGGATACATGCCACCCCATTTAGGGATTCAGATTAGGCAGAGGCATGTGTACTGGGAGGTTATGAGGAGGCGGTTAGACTGTAATTATGGTTTTCTTTGGTGTTTTAGTGCTGGGATGATAATCATGTTTTTGCAGATCCACTTAGTGTCCTGAGGCTCAGCGTCTATGTCCCCTCCCAGGGGATCTCCTGTTGGCCATGCAGTGGCTTGGAGCTTGCTCTGATGCCCCACCACAGTCGTGTGTTCCTGTTGAGAGTTGAGAATGTATTTGAATGTTTTCCCTTAATCATGCATGCAATATCTGACTGCTTATTGCAGTTTATGCTCCAGAACAGGTTATTTTTTCAAACCCAGCATTTCTTTTTAGAAAAATATGTTGTTTTTTTAAAAAACCCTGAAAAATCAAGTGTGGAATAGATAATTTGTGTGCAGTGGGATAGATGTGATTGTCCTCTCTACATCCAATGCTTTCGCTTTCCTTTATTGAATGTACTGTTAATTACCAACATGGCATCTAAGCCTTAGATACGAGATCTCCTTAGCCCTAACACGTGATAGGGTTGTAATGACGGCTGTTGTTGTTCTTGACAGAATCCCTAAATGGATCTTGGAAAGAAGGAGGATTTGTGCCTTCTAGTACCAGCAGCAGTGGATACTGGAGCTGGAACGCTCCCAGTGACCAGTCCAACCCATCCACCCCATCTCCACCTCTGTCAGCTGATAGCTTCAAAGCTTTTCGGACACCTTCCCAGCCAGATGATGGTATTGATGAAGCTGAAACAAGCAACCTTCTCTTTGATGAACCCATTCCTAGGAAGAGAAAGGTCAGCCTCATGTTAAATTCCATGGACAGATAGGATGTTGGTAGACTTATTTTGCTGTGGGAAAGGAGCAGGTCACACCAACAGCTCTGTATGTGTATCCCTCCTTGGTGTCCAGTTAATGTAGGTGCTCAGCCCGGTCGCTATGTCTCCTTCAACCTAGTCACCTACTGCACGCACATGCTGCCATCAGCACCACATATTTGCTGGCAGATGGTGAGGTTCTGCAGAGCCTCCTGCTCAGAAAACACTAGAGTGATTTCCAGAAGGTGTTGCCTCTGGCCATTCAAGGGATTTCTGGCCTACTTTGGCAAATTCGTTGTATGCAGGATGCAACAGGCAGCCTTTACATGTCATCATAAAAAGTGGATATGGCCTTAATACTTCTTGTTCTCTGAAAGTGCCGTTTGTCTGACAGCATGTCAGATACCTTAATACTGTGAAGCTTCCTCTGCGCAAACATATGGAGTGAAAAAAGGAGAGAGAGATCAAACCTGATGGCTTTTCATGCAGTATTAGCAGTGGCCAAATTTATCCTCAATAGGAGTGCAAAAGCAGACTAAATAAAACACAGCATAAAAAAAAAAAGGTCCAAAACGAACCCCAAAAAGCACCATTATGTTAGCAAGCAAGCTCCTCTCAAAGAAAATGAAAACAAAGAGATGGCACTAGTCCAAGTTTCCTTCCCTCCCAACGCAACAGGAGAGATTTTACATAGCAAGATGAAAAAGAGCTTTTTGTAAGGAGAAAAAAACCCAGAGAATTTGTTCTCCTTGGTGACTTTGTTTCTGGCTCAGTCTGAGACAGTTAATTGCTTCATCACCAGCAGGAAGAAGTTTTAATGATTGTTTAAACTTGTTCAGATTTATCCTTTTGCATCAGAAGTTGCTTATTTGCTGATCCACGCTGTTCTGCCCTTGTTTGTGGGAGAGGGGTATAAAATGTTTGTGCTTCTTGCTAAAAAGGAAAAAAAAATATTTTGGAGGACACCTTTGTTAACAGTAAAGAGAAGTTAGAATTGTCTGTTAAACTAAAGACAGTGGTGGTTTGGGGGGCTGTGGGACAGGAGGAGTAGGAATGCAGAACTGTGCTGGTTTGCCTTTTACTTCTCGGTTAAAGTTTAGCTTATTAACATCGCTCTTATTGCTCAGCTGTGATGGGACAGGTGGGTTTGCAGCTGCCATCTTTATTGTTTTCTAAATTATCTTTGAATATTTCTGTTGATGTACCCACCACAGATCTATTACACTCTCTGTTCTGGTTTGCAGGGACTTTGCTCTGTATGGCAAATGTTTCATTTAGATAAATAATAGCATTACCTGCTAAACTTTGTTTTGTAAATGAAATGTGTTTCCTGCAGGTTTTTTTGTTCTGGCCCCAGCATGGTACTTTATCTGAGTACAGCTTCGCACCTTTAGAAGCTGAAATAAAAATGTTCAGGTTATTTCTTCTTCAGAGCTGCAAAAATCAGAAGGAATAAACCTGGAAATAGAGCGATTGGTAACCTTACTTTTACTAATTAAAGTTTCTTCCATTTCATGCTTGGAAAATGTCACATTAGCAACCATTTCCTGCTAAGAAAGTTGTTTGCTTAAAAGTTTCCACCAATGTAGTTATTCCTCACCAAACCATTTACGTTCCATTATTTTCTTAAAATAAAATGTTAAGCCTGATGAAGCAATTTTTGGACTAGTCAGAAATGGAAGCATGGTTTATGTTCTGTGTTTCTGCTGAGCAAGGTGTCATTTGGTTACGTTACAATGCGTGGGCTTTTGCAGACTCCTAGCACTGACAATACAGCCAAAACCACAGTTGAGCTAGGAGACTGGTTTTGTCATCACACCAGAGGTTGATGTTAAACCATTCTGAGTTCATAAAGATGCATATGGTGTTCATGATGTCATAGTGGGATTCCCAAGATGTAGATGATAAGCATGGTCCTCATCTTGTTGCCGTGGTTGGTTGTGGGTTTTTGAGCTGATGGTAGTATTTAGTATTATGTTATGAAAGTAAGAAATGTATCAATCAGAATTGCTAGGTAGGTTATATTTCATTTTAGGGGAAAAAGAGTTCTGTATCTATTTGAATGGTTGTTGTATTATCAGATAAAAAAAAATCTAGAGGGAATTTATGTGCCATTTATTCCAAAGTAGAAGGTTTTCAGACAAACAGTATGATCAGGTACCTCTCTTAAAGCCTGTAGCATCCATACTTTCAAACAGGAGATGTTAGACTGCCATGTAAATATGAGAATGTGCTACTACAATCAACTTGGATTTTAAAAAGCCCATCAGCTGGGATTTTTTAAAATTCTATTCTAATCATCATCTTTCTAGCAAATGCTGAAACTTACCATCTACTGGCATGCAGTTCCAAAGGGTCCAAATTGAAGAAAGCACCAAGTCAAATTTGTTTAAGACAGTGAAGCGTGTATTCAACTCTTAAGGATGTGTTTGTTCCCCCTTTTTTTTTTTCCAATTGAGCTTTATGTGAATATATTCATTTAATCTTATATGTAACTAAAGTTGTAGGATAATAATACAATATTTTGAAGCTTTTCCTTGTGTTTTCTTTAATAATGTGTTCTGTAATAATAGAGAAAATTATTTTTGAGAAGTATAAATTATTTAGATGATTTTTTTTTTAATCTAAAATTTATAAAGTAGGTTTCATTTGGGGGTAAAATTAGCTTTTAAAAAAATCTCTATGGTTCTGCAACATCTGTGTTGTTACCACATACTGTGCTTTAAATTAAGACTAGTTTTCTCCAGAGTCTTCAAAATACTGAAGATTGGGCTGGTTATAGCCTTGTTGGCTGTGCTCTAAGTTAACGGCAACTCAGTTGAGTCCAATGAAGTTATATTAAAGACTATAACAAGAATGTTAAAATGAGATTATACGTGTATTCTTTTAAAAATGTTGAACACAGCCAGATGGCTTCTCATTCTCTTGTCCAAGTAAGGGTCACAGCAGCTCCTGAATGAAATAAAAGCAGGCTTTGCCAGCTTATGGTGAATATTGCTGTAGCAGAAGCTACAGTTTTCGGGCACAACATTTTTTTTATGTGTTACAAAATTCGTGAGCAGAAATACTCAGAAGAGCTTGTTTTAGGTAGTTCTTAATTTAAGAAGATGCCTTGCATTAAGTGAGAAGTACTCATCGGTTGTTCTTTGAAAGGCTCCAAAGAAGCATAGGGAGCTTTTCTATCATCTGCCTCCTTTAGTGTGGAGACAGAAACTGGAACTTGCAAATGAAAAAGCCGTGCCAAAGAGCGGAGAGAGGTAAAGTTTTGTCACAAGCTGCTCCTGCAGCTTTTCTCTGGGATTCTGTTGAGTTCAGTGGGATGACACTGTTGAGAGGGACTGTTACATCATTACAAATTTGGAGTTAGAGGCTCTGTAACTGTATATCTCTTTTGGGTGGTTTGGTTTACTTTCTGTTGTCCGTACAACTAATGTTGCTTTGCTCATAATTTTCAGAACTCCATGAAGGTGATGTTCAAATGCCTGTGGAAAAACTGTGGGAAGGTACTGAGCACAGCTGCAGGGATTCAGAAGCACATACGGACCATTCACCTTGGGTAAGAGAGCAGTCTCTTCAGAAGTCCAAAGGATTTGGTATAGAAGGGGAGCAGTTGGCTGGGGAGATAACCTGGATTGCCCTTGCCTCTTCTGTCTCAGATCCCTAGGTTTCTGAGGAAACGGTGGAGCATTGCATCAGGGTGAACGAAAACTTACTCCTTCAGCAAGGCACTTTCTTTCCTGAACTTTTGTGAACTTTGGTAGAAAGTCATATACAGCTCTAGGTCATGCTGCACTGCCCTAACGGCCGCACGACTCGGTGGCATTTACTTCGTATGTGCTGCCTGCACATCACATCCAGGCTGATGCTGCATGAAAGACAGCAGGTTTCAGGGTCTTGCATGAATACTTTCCAGCCTTCTTTCACATCAGATTAGGTGCTTGTGCTAGTTCTGAGTCAAATTAAAGCCAAAAAACCCCCAAACCCTAAGAAAACTAAAAAAAAAGAGACCGAGCTGCAATTCCATGTGTGTGTTACTGGGACTAGAAGCAAAAGTGAATGAATCTTATATGACACCAGCTTGTTTCAGAGCTTTAGTTTGCAACTGAAATCTGCGCAATTCACTGGGTGATGTAGCTGTCCCATAAGTAGTTACAGTGGGGACTCATGGTCTTCACCAGTTGGGTATGTGGAAATATATCTCTGTTGTGCAAGTCTGTACTACCCAGTGCTTAAAAGTTAAAGTGACTGAGGAAGTAGGCTGGTGTGGAGCTCAGGAGAGTCTTGCAAAGGTCATGGTGATTGGGCTTAGGCTCTGAAGAGTAAGGCTATCAGAAACAGAGAAAATCTTTCTCAAAATGCAGTTACAAGTATTGCTTTGTCCTGTATATTACGGGGACATCCTTTTCATGGCACGGAGAGGGAGAAATAAACAGCGGAACTTCCCTGGAATTTGGAGGTTGTAATGTTGCTGGAGAGAGGAGTTTTGGTGGGTGACTGGCTGCGGTCTGACGGGTGGTGCTTCTGGTAGAGCCTTTCAAACCTGTTGAACCAGTGCTGTCTCGGCAGGTTCTATTGAGTAAGGTGGTGAGAGGACCATGGGTAGAGGTATACAGGCAAGCAGGCTGAAGAGCTGGCTAGGGGCTTGTTTTGGCATGCATGCCTGGAAAAGGAGGGGCCCAGCTTTCAGCCCTGATATGGACATGCAGGCAGGGGGCTGCTTAGGGCTCTCAGATTTCCCATATGGAAGATTCAGGAGAAAATGCACGTGTACGTGCTGTGAGTTACCTCTGTACAGCACGTGGATTATGAACGTGCTAAAATAGTGGTTTGTTTTGAACTTAAAGATAACACATAGCCTACTGGGAACTGCTGCTTGGACTTGGCTGCTTCGCTTCTAGCACTTGCGCTCCAACGCACAGCAGTTCAGGCCAGGGGTGCAGGGGCAGTTAAACCTTTTATGTCTCCTCCTTCAGTAAGTCTGCCTCTGGAGAGTAGGATCAGAAAGTCCTGCACTGGCAAGCCAGCCTGTATATGTCCTTTCTCTGCTTGTGTTTGAGGGAGTTGCATGGTGAGACTGTTTTCTGGCAGCTGCTTCTATTATGCCAAGGAAAGTTACGGTGAGCTGCGACCATAACTGTGTATGTATGTAACCTGTGGTAAGATTATATATTGTTTGCCATAACAGTAGTGAAATATATCAGCCCCCTGCCCTTCTGTGGCTGCTTTGTCATTTCTGAAGTCAAAATGCATTGAGATTCTTGTTATCTTCAATAGTTAGGAAGGAGAAGCTGATATTTAAGCTGGAGCATAGAAGTTAAACATCTACTCCAAGGTCAAAGAATCAGTCAAGAATAATACAGGGAGAAAAAAAATCTAATTCCTACTTCTTTTCCCTTAAGACTAGATGATTTTCTTTTCCCCTCCCCTTTCCCTGCAGCCAGAATGCTGATAAAGTAGGTAGGGTTGAAACTGGGAATATTAATTTATTGACAGTATGAATGTATTTGCTCATGCATCTGGAACTTAAAATTTACCTTGATGTTCTTGCTTTCATTTAATCAGTCCTTCATTCTTTGTCTTGATACAGACGTGTAGGAGAGTCTGACTACAGTGATGGAGAGGAGGATTTTTACTATACAGAAATCAGGCTCAACACGGACTCAGTAGCAGATGGCTTAGGCAGTCTTTCCCCAGTCTCTCCATCTTTAGCATCTCCTCCTTCCTTTCCCACCCAAGATGCAATCCGTCCTGAAACTTCCTGTGCCAAAACTGAGACTAAATTGATGACACCTCTGAGCCGCTCAGCTCCTACCAACCTCTACCTCGTACACACGGACCACGCTTACCAGGTAATGCTACTGAGAGTATCTCCATTGGTGTCATTAATGTATAAAGAAATGTTGGATTACAGTGTTTGCATTTTAAAAAGCCAAGTCTAGTTTTAAGGGGTTGAAAAGTTTTCAGGACAGCCCAAGGGGTTCGTCTCATTTAAATTTAGTTGTACACTTCTGAGCTAGTTGTTTGCTTGTCCTTCCACCACAGCCGGTGGATTTTGGGGGGCTGTTTATCCAGCCACACACAGGTGCGTACTCCAGATTGAGAAGAGTTGCTCTGTGTTTCCCACTGCTTACGTCAGTTAATTCTCCACTGACCATAAGGAGGGCCCACGGTGACGTGCTCAGATGTGGTCTCCTGCGTTGTAAAAATTCTCATTCAGTCATCCGAATCCCTCACAGTCTTCATTTAAGCTCTGCTTGTACTGGATGTGTCTGTAAGCAAGTACCCAAGGGATGCCAGGAGCGATTTATTTCCTTTATTTGTACAGTGTGAGATGTCAGTTTGCATATGTGAAGTAGAGAAGAAGAATGAAGAGGCATGTATGGTATCCTCCTACTCTTGGAGGTAGTGCTTTGCAAATGGCAAAAATCCAATCAGATCTGAAAGCTGCTGTTCCAAAAACTTCCAACTAAGTTTGCACAGAAAGCATTAATTTTAAAAGTGCACTAAAGTTTGACATGTTTTGGACTGGATACCATACGAGAAAAGAAGAATAGAGGCTTTGAAGTAGTGTGGTCCTTGACCTGCGTATGCACCGGAGAACTGAGCTCTGTTAATACCATTTATCAGATGTAATAACTTCCGTATGCAGCATTGTGCAGGTGAAACCTTTTTGTTCTGTGTCTGGAGCAGACCCGCCAAAAGGGCAGAGGGAACCACATAGAGTTCACAAGTTTGTTTTAGACTCTCATGCACGGTGGAAAGCGTGGGTGGAATCTTGGCCTCTCAGGTGGGAGCTGCATGGGGTAGGACACCAGC